ATTATAAAAGAAAATTTCAAAATTTTTATGTTTGTCACATTACTACTTTCAATTTTAAAATTCAAAGTCATTTTATATATTTCTCTAAATATCATTGCTGAAACAATGTAATTTGGCATTTAAACCAAGACAAGTATATTCTCGAGCATATTTTGCTTCTCCAAAATTATAAACAGTCTTTATATTGTTTTGAGGTATTTTGTTTACTTGCAAATCTTGCTTCAGTTTTGTAGGAACTAATATCAAAAACTTTGACGAGTTTTTCTGTAGTCATATGAATATATAACACATATCTGTATAAAAAATGTTTTTAAAACGCGTCAAGTTTCACATGATGTGTAATTTTAACATTAAAAAACAACAATAATAATTCAAAAAATAAGTTTAGGATAAATATATTAGCGTATTAGTATCTGTTTTTATATATTTGTGTATTATTATTACACAGTTTATTAATTTAATGATTCTAAAAACAAATTATATTAATATTTTTCAATATTAAGTGAAACCCAACAAGAGCAGTACTTCTAATAAGATTTAAGTTATTTGTACATCAAAAAGAATAATTATAATACTTTTTATTGTTTATTGGATATAATTAAAAATGATGTTCAACAAAACAATATGAATAAAAATCAGAGTGTTTTGTTCAGTTAAATAATATATGTTTAATTCATACAAGTTTGTGTTGTATAATAAAAATTATATTCATAATTAATAATATCAAAGTTTATTGTTGTGTTTACTAAATGTTACCGTTTTAAAACTGGTAAAACATTACGGACTTTCAAAATAGTTTATTACAATATATATCCGTTTTAAGTAAAACGTAAAATTTGTACAACCGGATAAGTTATTCAATGTAAACCACAAACTTGTTTTAAAAATTAAAAATCTTTTCTTCATAATTATCTTTGGCGTTATTATATCGAATTTAATAATATATTCATTCAATTTTTAAGCAGTTTAAATTTAAATAAATATAGAGTTTGTCAAACAACGTTGTCTGTTCCCCGAACGTTGTCTTTTTGACAAAAAAATAATTGATTTCTGTTTCAAAAAACGGGAATTAAGTAAAAATGAAAAAAAATGGGAAAAATGTTGTTGAAACAATGATTTTGGGGTTTTTCTAAAAATTACACAGAATATTTTAATTATAATGGTTCAAAAATCGGCAGACAACGTTACAGACCAGACAACGTTTAGCAAATGACTCTATATTTAAATATTATTCTTTAAATTTAATTTACTTGAATTTTATAATAAGTAACATTTATTTGTGGTTTATAATTTGTGATTTCACACTTTATTGTTTATAAAGTGTGAAATCAAAATATTATTTTGTTTACAAAATAATATTTGTTATATTATTTTGCAAACATTTACCATCTTTTTATAATTTTATTTAAATTTATTGTCTTGTCAGCAATACCATTAGTTTTAATTATAAATTAATTTAAATTAAATGTAATTTATTAATGGGTTATTTAACTTCTTGTTGTGTTTTATTTATTAATTAAGAAAAAGGACGGACATAAAGACGAAGGAAGGGAAAATAGGCAAAAAAACGTCCTTTGTGGTTTGAGGACGTCCTCATGCTATAAAGGGCGTTTTTACTGTGTATAAGACATCCTTTCTATTATTTTCGTGTCTGCCGCGTTTTTAAAACTATATAACGAGTTATAATGTAACTACGAATTAACTTCGAAAAAATTTTAAATAATTCCAAAAATACATTTATTACAAACGAAAACTAAATTATATATAATTTTATTATAAATTATTGGTTTAAAAACAATTAAAATTTTAATTAATTTTACAAAGTGAATGAAATATATAATGAAAAAAATGAATTATTTTTTTAAAACCATTAATTTATTACAAAATTATTTGTAGTAAATATAGCCTTTGTCCATTCTTTGATTTATTTTTGGAAATAATTGTATTTTTCAATAGTAAATTAATAGTAATATTATAACTCGTTATATAGTTTTGAAAACATGGCAGACTCCTTTCTTTTAAAATTATTGGTATTTTTAATTATAATTATAAAAAAGTTAATAATTTATTAATTCATATTATAAAATATGGTATTAATAAATTTAAAAATCAAAATATGAATGGAAAAACAAAATTATTAAACTATAATTATTTTAATAATTTCTAAAATAAAGAAATAATAATTAATAATAGATTATAATAAGTAAACTATATAATTTAACAATACAAATAAAACAGTATCATATAATGTTATTAAAACAATTAAAAGAATATAATATAAATTATTGGAACAATTATTAGTTATTTATTAATAATACAATACTATATAATAATGTAATCCCATAATTTAAAATTTTAAATATATTTAAAATTATAAACATTACTAATTCAAATATCAAAGCAATGAAGTCAATAGTGAACCTGAATATATATGATGATGGTTGTTATGCATAATAGAACTTAAATATTTATATGATGATGGTAGTGATCATTGACTGAGCTTTTTTTATAAAAATCATTGACCATTTTATAATCTAAAAAATATTTTTTCTATTCTATTGACCAATTTATAAGGGTTTTTTGAGGATAAGGTGTATCCTCAGGATTAAAGCTATCCTTATTAAAAAATATTTTTCTGAGGATACAAAAACAAATCCATAAGGTTCAGTTCCCCATAAAGCCCACTCTCATAACTCAAGTTATAATTTACACTTCATATTTCTAGTCAAAGTTCGAATTTTAAATAATGGTAATAATTTGTCATAAATGCCAAAAAATTAAATACAATCAAAAAATCGCCACAATAATCAGTTAACAAAAACAATAATTATATCTCGCCAACTTGAGACGGGAAATAACAAAACATGAATTAAACTTGTTCATATTATGATTATATACTTATTGAAATTATTTCCGAATACGTTTTAATAAAAATTATTGAAATTTACGTTCAAATTTATAATTGTTTTTTTATCAAAATGAAAATTGAAAAAGTCGAAAACACTGATTTACTAAAAATGTGATTTTAAAATAACAAAATTATTAATAATTTTGTAATTTATGCAATTATTCAAATTTATTGTAATAACAAAGTTAATCATATTGTGTATATTTTAATATGAATGTTTCATATTGATATTAACTTGTGTTTTAAACAGATTTACAGTTCTGAGGATGGCAATTATTTTCTGAGGATGACAGAAATAGAAAGTTTACACTTTTACATCTATCTGAAATGTATATTGAGTAAGTTACTATTTTTGAATATGGGAACACGTCATTTCACTTTTTAGGTGTTTAAGTCTGTGTTGATAATGTCTGTTTGTTACACGACTTACCATCCTCAGAGATATTTATGGCACTACCACTATTGATTTAAAATTCTATAAATAAAATTATCAAAGAATTTTTATAAAGTGGGTTTTGTTAATTGATTATATCAAAAATCGTCAAAACACAACAAAAACGCCAAATAATATATAAATTAATTAATAAATTGAACACATTTCTATTGAGAATTGATATTGTATAAAAAATAATATAAACATATATTTCTTGTGTGTATATGTTTTGAAATATAAATAAAACCGTTTATAACAAAAATGATTTTATTTTAAAAATTTGTTTATTTATCAATCGTTGTTTCATCGATATCCAAAACCTCTCTTTTTGAATTTGCGCAAATACACAGATTGTCATCGCATAAATTATACGTTATTAATACGTTATTTGCTATCAATTTTTATTGTTTGAAATATCATGAATTGATTTTTAATAAATTATTTTTGTAAAAAAGATTAAAAATTGTTTGATTAGTTTGTTTTGTGATTTTGATTAAAAAATCGACTTTTTCGATAATTTAAATGTTAGTCAAATGTTTTCATTTAAACCAAAATTAGTCTTGTGGTAAATCAAAAAATAGAAATAGATTATTTTTTTTAAAATCAACACCAAGAATCATCTTTCAAAAAATCCATAAATAGCATTTTTAAAGAAAACCATGTGTTTCAAAATATACCTTTTTGATCTTAGGCAAAAAAAAAATCTAAATTGAAAGAAATTATGTCTAAGATATTTACCATCCTCAGAAAAATTAACAATCCTCATGAATCCCTATAAAATAACCAACCAAAAACAAAATTATAAGAATACAATAAATAGAATTAAACTTCCACAAGTCGAAAATAAATTTGTTGTGTTGGTATTTCGATATTAAGCACTTTGACAAGAATTGAAATTAATGACACAGTCACTACAGTCAAGAATGACAATTCAAAAACAAGAAACGAACACATAATTGAAAAAATGATGGAGTGGTATTCTTTTTCTTTCGAGTCGATAATGCAACTATTACACAACTCAAACATTTGAACTGAAGGCACAAACTGTTGTTCACATTGACACATCAAGTACATATAGTGTTGGTCAATTGTTGTATCGATACATCATTCGTTCTATATATTAATTTAAATTCTTATAATATATACTATATTATTATTTATATTATTTACTCAAAAAACTGTCTTTTCAAATTGTCGTTTTTTACTGTTCTGAATTGAAAGTAAAAGTCCCATAAATTAGGCAAACCATCAAAACAAAAAAATGCGTTTTATATGAAGAATACAACAACGGCAATATTGATAACATCAATCACTTTAAATTAAATTTGTTGCTAATAAATTTTTCTTTTGGAAAACGGAGAGCTCCAATAAAGAGTCAGACAGAAAAACACCTACCAATAACAACAAGAGCTAATTAAAGGACATTTTGCCAAACAATTTAATTCGCGATGGTGACACTACTGGCGATAGATATTTCGTCAAATAACAGCCAAA